GTTTCCAACCGGCAGCAGATGGCGGACTACCCCCGACGAATATTGAAAACTACGACCGTTAGGCTGGGCACCTGTGCACTGTTGTTTGTTGAAGCAATCAGTAGCGCTGATACAAGTTAAAAAACCGTCAGATTTGCGAAATATTTTGAGCGAGGGTAATCAAACAGAGATTTACTTCGTGTCGGACTGTAACGCCTGGTTACAACCGACTTAAGCAGAAAGTTGACCGATTATATCAAAAAGAGTAACAGATGATTAATATTCCAAAACCTTTATGTGTAAAATTTACCCTTGATCTATTTCGATGTGTTATGTATAACTTTTAACAGAGATACGTTAAGAGGCGACCTGGTAAAATTTGTTTAACATTGCGTAGTTATTTCGGACATTTTCGTTCGCACCTTGGCTGCTGAGAGAACTTAAGTCACTGATAGGTTAAACCTTAAAATCATATGTACATTTGGTGATCGTCTCTCTCTATGTTCATGTAGGTGTGGATTTAGCATATCCTGCCTGCTTGCAAGAGGAAGCGTTTGGTTTTATTTAAGGCTCCATCAAACCTCAGCTGCAGGCAGCGATCTATTGACAAGCAGCCATTGAGGTTAGCACAGCCTTGGGCAGCTTCCTTCCAGTTATTTGGATTTGCAAAACGGAACTCGAATCTGTTCCATAAATTACAATCTCTGACACTATTTGCCTAGATGTTTTAGGGTAACCTCACTAAAGTTATTCCTGCCCAAAATCAGACTGTCAGCCAATCTGTGGGGAATGAGTTGCAGTTCTCAACCGTTGCGTTTCTCAATCGCCTGCTGTTGAACCAGCTTAAGCGAACTGCTAGCATAATCCAGATCTCCTTTCATTTCTAGTCACTCCGTTAAAGCACATTTCGCTGTGAGAACGTACCTAAGACCGACCTTAAGGTGCGTCATCCTCTTTTCACTGGGTCGATGCCTTATCTTGTCACGGTACGCAGGCGTGACTCCAGTGTGCACATGCGAAGCCCCACCCAGTCGCCACCCTCTCCCGCCCTTCACGCCAAACCAGTTGTCATTAATCTTAATCGATGCACCTTGGCTGATGTGACTCCGCTTGTGGAAAGGCAGCATATCTGGTTGAGACTTGGTTTTCCGGAGGTTTGGGAATCCATGTTAGAGCCCTAGTAATTAGCGAGCAACGTTCGTCATGTTTCAACATGGCTACAGGTGCCAACCCATTCACAGGTAATTTACCTGGCACATCATTAGCAAATTATGCCTGAATGTGTAACTAATTGTTCCATCGTCCTGGCCGAAGATGCTCACCATGTGCTCCACAGGGACGGGGACTTGCACGTTTATTAGTTTACAGGGATAGGAGTCTTGTGCTGCATCTAGCGCACTCCCTCGTCTTCCCTCAACTAGTGCTCAGTACTTGAGTTTTATTTGTCGCTTTCCTGAACAGTTGCGTAATGAAATCATAAAAATCATTGTGGCAGACAAAGACATTAACTGTTATCAACTCAATACGTTAGTCAACGGAGAAGAAAATAGTTACCTTCGAGGATGCCGCTGGGCATTGTATGGCTTTTCAACTTTGGGTTTGAATTTTAAGGCGAAATTAGGATACTAAAAATCTTTTTTTCATTCAACTATCGAGGTATCATTTAAAGACCAAGCTTATAATTACAAAATAAGACATCGTGATCCACCAAGATACTCAGCACGTGAGGAAATAAAGCCTATCAAAACCGTCTAAGTGCGGAAAATCTGAATGATGAAATCGTGGTGCTAAGACGCCTTCTTGTTGGAAGTGATTTGCTAGTGTGGTGCGTACCACAGTACCCCTGATCCATTGATCCTGAATTTCCACCAAGAAAAAAGAAGAGAAACGGCTGGGATCCCACTGATTAAGAGCACCCTAGATGTTACATTGAGAAAGAAACACTACAGTCCGACTTTCAGTCTACCAGTCAGCCACTCCACACAACAAACATTGTACTGATTTTGAATTCCCAGGCATGCCAACAGTTGGCAACCTTTCAGGACTTAAAACGTGTCGGAATGAATGTGCGTCAGAAACCGTTGACGACATCTCTATTCCCTCTCTCCGGCACCAGTCCACGGTCTGAGCTGTTCAGATGTCTGATGCGGGGAGTGAGCGAAATGCCTTACTGTACTAACGATCCGATCTGTGTTAACAGCATGCACTAACTGGAGGCCCCCACCACAACCCCACCCCACCAAAACGTGCTTACCAGGATTATAAATGCGTGGGGGAAGCAACTGGGACCTCTTATGCATGAGGGATTGCCATCGCAGTCAGACTGTCACTTCACTAATTGGAAATTTAGCAAGAAAGGACGCGACTGGGCTGACTGCTTGGTCGAAGTTGAGGCACTAGCTGGTAGGCTTTCGAGCCACAGTTTCGAGTGCATCATGATAGTTTGATGTACGTGTGGCTAGTTGTTAAGAGAAACTATGCGCTGAGAGCCAACATCACTCACTCCCCCTTATCCTGCACGAGCAGGTCATTTAACTGATGTGGAGGTTGGTTGAGTTGGCTAACAGTACTGAGAAGAGCTAATGTGTCTAAGCGACAAACATGCACACACTCACACACACAACCTGGCCCGCCTAACGCACACACCAGGATATCACACGAGAGGTTAGCCATCGCTGCCGACCATCTCCACCGTGCACTGCACAGCTAGGGGCAGCAGGCACGGTGGCTTGCGTGTAAACTGGTTTATAATGATAGCATACTTGCACAGAATCTACCTCACTCCCTCTTTCTCACTCCCCACCAGGACCCGCTGTCTAGCGACAGTTACGAAGGCGGGAGTTGGGGGAGGGCGTAGGTAGACGGCACGATTGAGATCGCACCTTGGCGTTTCACTCCAAACCCTCTAGTCCACACAGCAAATGAACAGGTTTTTAATCAACAACAAAAGAATGGAGGTTGGAACGGCCGAAACCGCACCTAGGCGTGCCGTCACAACACTGAGCTGGGATCCCACAGAGTGGGAGTGCCATAAAGGCCACATTAATATGGAGCCATTGCGGCCTGAGTCTTAGACCGAGCGGCCAATCCACACAATCACACAACTCGGAGGCGACTGCGAGGTCCAAGTTATCGCGTCAGTTGGCCACATTCCAAGACGCGGATTTTAGCGAACCACGGTAATTTGAAGCCCGTCAGATTTTTTATAGTACGGAAAATGCCCTAAGCCGTCGAACGCACTGTCCCTTCCCATGCCCTGTCCAGCCAGTTGACAGGTGCGGGGATGGACGCGGTGGCTAACAGGGACAAGTGACCATGTCTGCGCGCGCCACACACACGACCTGACCCCCAAAAAATAAGCACCAGGATATCACACAACGGGGCTCGGACGGCTTTCATTGGGCACGTGTGTGAGTGCCGTAAGGCACGTTAAGAAGGAGCCGCTTTGGCCTGTCTGAGAGCGATAGTTCGAGCGTCGCATCCGACGATGTCCACCGTGAGCCCACAGCAGGTAGTGGGAGGAGGGACGGTAACTGGCGCGGGGGTTATAGTGCCGGCGGACTTACACTGCATCTGCCACACACTTTATTCCCCTTCCATCTGAGCCTGGTGTCAAGACAGAGTCAAGAAGATTGGAGACGAGGGAAGCCGCAGGCGGATGGCTCGGACGGATCCTCACCCTGACGTTCCACCACGCCCCCTGGTCCGCACAACAAATGACCAGGATTTTTACCAACACCAACAAGATTGGAGGCTGGCACGACCGGAGCAGCCGCACGTAGGCGTGCCGCCAACGCCTAGCTCGGATCCAACACAGTGAGATTTCCATAGAGGCCGCATTAGGAATGAGCCATTGCAGCCTGACTCTCAGACCACCAGTCGTGGAGGTCCAAGTTATCCCGTCAGTTGGAAACCTTCAAAGTCACGGCTTTCAGCTCACCATCATAGCTTCAAGCGCCTCAGATGGTTTATATTGAGGAGGAAAGTGCGCTGAGTCGTCGACCTCATTCTCCCTTCCCATCCCCACACCTCAGCCGCTGTCCGAGGCGATCAGCAGACTGCAGTGGGGAATCGGCGCGGCGGCTGGGATGGTCGAGTGACCAAGTCTGCGTGCGCCACGTGCACGCACTGGCCCCCCAGACACACATAAACCAGGATTTCGCTCAACGGAGTTTAAAAGGCGTATCTCTGATCCGCGTGAGAGAGCCATGGAAGATGCTGTTTCAGCCCGTCTCCCGGCCCACCAGTCCCCCACTCCACACAACACACACAACGGGACGGACTGCGTGGACCGAGTGTGGGCGTCAGTCAGCAACCTTCCTATCCACGGGACCGGACGCGTCACCCGGGGCTCAAGTCATCCGCGCAGAAGCGGACGTAAGGAGATCGAGTCGAGACGAGTGGGAGGTGGCAATTGGTTGCTTGCGATGGGCGAGTGTTGCTGTGTGGTGGGCAGGTGATGAGGGATGAAGGGATTGTGTGGTGCAGCCGGCGCAGGATTTCGTAGATGCGCATGTGGTCGAATAGGGCCATGCGATGAGTGAAAGTTCGAGAGCATTTTGAACAGTGGAGGTGAGTGCGGTGGGTATAGGTTTGAGCTCCAGGCACTGGTTCGCCAGCCTCTGTGCGATGGATTCAAAAGTGACTGACCAGGCCGATGTCTGAGGTGAAGGTGCGGTCGCAGTGAGGGTAGGTGTAGTCCTGGTCCTCACCTCTGGAGTCGGAGTTTGTAGGGGTGGTGTCTAATGTTGTGTCAGGGTTGTAGGTAGTGTTGGTGTGCGTGACAGCCGCCAGAGCGGCCGTCTATGGAGCAGGGGAGGAGGAGGAGTAGGTGGAGGGGGAGGGGAGAAGGAAGAGGTGAGGGAGCAGGAGGATGAGGAGGAGGAAGACGAGGAGGACGATGATGAGATTGTTGGTTCAGGAGAGCGGTCAGTTTTATTTGGCGGAGGAGAGGACGAGGAACAGGCAGAAGGAGGGACGATGTTAGGTTCGATCCGGGAGGCGCTGTTGATCCGGAAGTGTCAGATAATTCCATTTCGTGTCCGGAAGGTGCTTTGGCTCCGAGGACATGTTGGAGGCGATTGTGCGTTGGCATTGCGAGGTGGGCGCAGCTGTGATTTGAGTGCTTCACGTTTGACTATGTCGGCGGCCATGCTGTTGGCTTCGTCGGTCGCCGTGCCCGTCTTCACTGTCCTCCTCCAGGTCTGTCGAGCGTGGGCGAGGTCTTCCCAGTTGGTCGGGTTAATTTGCAGACGCTTCAGGGAGGACTTCAGGGTATCCTTGTATCTTCGAATTTGGCCTCCTTGGCGACGACAACCCGTGGCGACATCTCCGTAGAAGAGTCGTTTGGGCAGTCGCTCGTCGTCCATGCGCACCAGGTGGCCGCTCCAACGCAGTTGCATTTGTCTCAGCATGGTGTAGATGCTGAGGATTCCCGTCCGTTCCAGTGTCGGGGATTCGATCCTGTCAACTCAGCCTTAGGATGCGACGAAGACAGCTGAGGTGGAAGTGGTTCAGCCGGTGTGCCTGCTTTGTGTACACTGTCCAAGTCTCCGCTCCATACAGCAGCGTCGGCAGGATGACGGTCTTGTAAATCTTCAGCTTCGTGCTGAGCTGAAGATCGTGACAATTCCAAACTGTGCTTTGGAGGCGACCGAAGGCTTGACTAATTTTCGAAATCCTGCGAGCGACATCGTAATCGATTTTGGTGTTACGGTAGAGGGTACTGCCCAGGTACGGGAAGAGATCCACCACTTGCAGTTAGATTCCGTTCACGCTGATTTGCGGCGCGTTGGGAGGAGTGGCTGTGTTAGGTGGCGGCGGTTGATGCATCATCACCGTCTTCTGTGTGTTGATGACCAGACCGAAGTTCTTGCAGGCGACAGAGAAGAGGTCCATGCTCCGTTGCATCTTCTCTTCTGAGTTGGTGTTCAGGGCACAGTCGTCGGCGAAGAGAAGTTCGTGAACGGTGGTTGTGGATACGCACGATTGGAAGTGCATCCGCCGTTGATTCAGAAGGTGACCCTCCGTCCTATAGGCGATACGGATCCCGGGACGTTCATCATGATAGGCGTCCATCAGCATGGCAGAGAACATATGACTGAAGAGTGTGGGCGCTAGCGCGCATCCCTGCTTCACGCCGTTGGTCAGCACGAATGTCTCTGAGACAGCTCCGTTGTCCGTTACTCGCGCCATCATGCCGCCGTGCGGCTGATGCCCCATCTGAATGAATCGCTCGGGACAGCCGAATTTCTGCATGATCTTCCACAGTCCTGCACTATTCACCGTGTCGAAGGCTTTCGTCAGGTCCATGAAAGGTGGGTCCGCATATCCTGGCACTTCTCCTGTAGTTGACGAGCGCCGAAGATCATATCCATAGCCCATTGTCGTTTGAGCCGCGGAGACCATGGGGACCCGGCACTCCTCTCCAGTCAGCATGGGCTGTGCCGACGCGGGCGTTGAAGTCACCAAGGACAATTAACTTATCCGCCTTCGACACAGTTGCCAAGAGGGCGTGCAGGTCCTCGTAGAACCTGTCCCTTGTGGCGTCAGAGCTGGTCATTGGCGGAGCGTAGGCGCTGATGATAGTGGCGAATGTGCCTTCTCAGAGGGGCAGGCGGAGTCTCATCAGGCGACCGTTGATGGCCCGCGACAAACAGGGCAGTCGTTTCACGGTGTTGTTCCGGATGGCGAAGGCGAAACCCGCTTCTCGTCGCTCTGCCGTGGGTCGACCACTCCAGAAGAATGTGTAGCCGGCACCCACCACGTCAAGTTGGCCTCGTTCGGAGGGTCGGGTCTCGCTGAGTGCGGCGATGTTTGTGGCAGTTCGCGTGTCCTCGCCCTCGGCCTTTGCCACGCTGCTTTCCTGTCCGCCTCACACTCCTTGTCGATACACTGTTGGGACGCGCGAGGCTTGTCACTAGCCTCGCGAGCGGTCGAAGCCAATCAACGCTGTCCCCACTCTGATTGGCTGGCGGACGCAAGGACAACGAAAGGCGCACACACGCGCTGGGAGAAAACAGCCCGAAGGCGGACACAGAAAAGAGCTTCCTTGGAGCGCGCTCGCGGCGACTGCCTAAAGAGCCCTTGTGTACGCACTTCCTCAGGCAGTGAAAGTTGTCCAACTCACTCCGTCTTCCCTGACTTTTGATTGAGAATCTTTATCTAGTCGACCACACAACTTTCGACATGTTCACCTTGTAGCGCGCCAGTTCTCGTGCCTCTAGCGCCGTAGTGCGTTACGGTCGGTTGCACCCCGGATTGCCTTAAAGGGAACTAACATTCCAGGCTGTCAGAGTGATCGGACTCATCGTGCCTGTCTGTCGGCGAGTGGGTCGGCGGTGATAAGGAAAAAAGGGGGAGTATTCGGTTTCGACCGTGAGGTTAGCGTCTGAGGTCACGGCCGACCTGCAGACAGCGTGGGTCCCCAGCATTTGTTTAGGACATCTTTTCTAGCGCTTTTCCCTCGCGGTGGTCGACAGTGCTCTCGCTACATGCAGCCGCTCAAATGTCCCAGAGGGCTGCTGAAATCCAGTTTTGACCATGTCTTTTATTTAGTGGAAGAACAACCAAAGTTAGCCTGGACCTGCCTACGGCAAGCGTAGGACATGAAAGGTGGTGGGAGGGGGATAAGGGAAGGGTAGAGAGACGGTATGCTGAGCTGCCCCGTCACCCTCTAAGAAAACTGGTTGCTGAGCAGACAAATTCAGCCGAACAGCATTCAGTTTACAGTAAGGACAGACGCAAACACGCAGACAAATGTAAATAGGCAAGAACAGCAGAAAGCAAAGGCAACCGATCAACGTTCGCTTGCCGAGGGACACACTTACCTAGTGGCCTACTACAACGTTGCAGATGGAGCATTAATCGCGAAGATGCCGGCCCCGCCAGCGGAATCGGGACTACCGTGTGCGCAGATGCACGCACGGATTCCCTCACCTGGTTTAGTCCACCGGTCAAGGCGGTTACCGGGGTGGGGCCACTAGGCACAGCCCAGCTTCGGGGAACAAAACGAAGGAGTTGGGTGCCAGCAAATGGACGCTAGGCGTAGTCTACACCTGTAAGCAAGCAAGAGGGCGACCTACTACAACCATCACGTTTACCCTCAGCTGGAAGCCTCTGCACATCAGGAGTTCAAACAGAAGGAATTAAGCCGCTCATATTTTACATGCAATAGAGGAGCAACGGAGAGAAAGAAGCCGAAGAACGCACTTTCCGCTTACTTGGAAGGTGCCAGTGGTGCGGAATGCTGGATGTGTTCCTCTGTGGTGCATGTGTTGATAGGGAAATATGTTGTGATATGGTTATGCTTGCGGTGATTTGCCACAGGGTCTATGTAAGTGTGTGTGACCCATTGCGATGGGTAAATGCGTAAGGACATTTGGGAAATTTGTTAAGATGGCGTCTGGTGTATATTGAGGCTCAACGCACTGGTCCGTCGCTCTCTGTGATGGAATCGTTAGTGCACTACTAGGCCGATGCGGGAGTTGAATGCACGATCACGACGTGGAGAGGTCGGGGTCGAGTCCATATTGCTGGAGGCTGTGGTACTGATGGCGAGGGTGGAAGCTAACGGGATGTTTTTTCACTGGTGGAAGGAGCCGAAGATGTAGTGGCCGTCATCGTCATCGTGGAATTTGTGGCAACAATGATGGAAATGGCAGTGATGGACGGCGCTGGAGGATTGAGATTTTGTACACCAATTATGAGGGTGGGTGCCGTCTTGGACACCGTGTGTGATGTAACAGCGGTGGTTGCTAATGGAGCAGGTGGGCTCTGTCTGTATTGAGTTCGGAGATGTTACCCGAGGTCAATCCGTGCGCAGAATGTCTGTTGAGGATGCGTGAATGTTAGCATTTAGGTGTTATTTTTCTTGCAGTTCAGTTTTATATGTCAGTGCTCTTCTTTAAGACGGTCTGTCATAAGAAAGGTCTTTCCAGGATTTCGCGGTGATTTGCAATCGCTGTAAGTAGCTCCACAAGATGTCTTTGTAGTCGCGGCTTTTACCTACTTGTCAGTGTTCATTTCTGACGACCTCTTCATAGAAGTTTTGCTTTGGTAGTCGTTCATCCTACATATCACGAAGTGGCCAATCCATTGTGGCCATCGCCTCGTCAAGAATAGTCATTCGAGGGAGGGGAAAGGGCCGTAGACACTGACGGTGGTGACAAGTATGGCCTCCCGAAGATGCAAGCGAATGGCATGTATCTTGTCCTCCAGCTTTTGGGTGGCCGTTGCAGAAGAAGGTGTTGCCGGCATCCACATACCCCCGTTAGCTTTACACGGACAACTGGGTCTCTGTTAGAGCAGCGGTGTCCAACTTGTACCATGCCAATTACCAATCACCTGGCGTCTTTCTTCCTTTTAATCACTAACTGCTCGGATTATCATGAAGGAAAAGAACATTTAAGCTTTCAGATTGAGCTAACTCACCCTAGGTACCTGTTTGGTAAGATAGAGAGAAGGGAATAGGGGTTGACGATGTAACTTTTTTTTTTCAGCCGTGAGCTCTGCATCTACGAGCCGTGGTTTGTGCGCAGATGATGTGATCCTGGTAGTTGTTGAAGGTGCATTATCTAGCCACTTTTTCTCGAGTGGTTAGTCACTGATATCCCTAATAATGGCCTCTAAGACGTCCCAGACAGCCACTGAATTCCATTATGTGTCACAGCTTCGTTTAGTTAAGAGTAACCCGAGTTATTTTGAGTCGCCTGTTAGATTGCATGTCGTATTAACCGTGGGACGTTTTAAGTGGATGTGCGTGTGGGAGGCGGGAAGTGGAAGAGTGGGGAAAGAGAAAATAGGGGAGAAGGGGAGAAAAAGGAAGGTCAATTCAAAGGATGTAGATGAGATGGTTTAACCGAACAGCGATGACTCAAGCAAGAGGCGCTTATCATTCGAAGGCCATATAATCCAGTTGAAGTTGTTGTGTCTGATGTTAGAGCCAAGGTCTTGGTGTGTCCTTCAAGGAAGGGACACCAGTATAAACTTTAATCACTAGCAGACACATGATCGCGAGAGCACTCACGGTTCATCTGTGTTTACTATAGATATTGTTCTAACTTTCATTTTCTCATCTTCCTCCTACGATCTCTCCAGGCAGAACTGGCGACCTATCCGCAGGGACAAGTGCGGTTCCATTGTGCACGTCAGAGAAATTCCTCCACTAAAGTTCCACCCTCATATCCGAGAAAAATTGCAAAATAAAGTGATCTCTGTGCGCACAATGAACACTTGGATATTGTGCAAATCGAAGTCCTTTCCTCGTATCCTCACAAACTGAAGGAAGAATCATCTTCGCCTGTAGACATGGCCGTTAAGTGGATGTCAGTGTTGCGGGAGTGTTTTACCTCCAGGCAGCATGTGTCTGCCGTGGTCTTGGAAAGGAGCTCAGTGTGAGGAAGCAGTTCCGTGCAACAATGTCCCCAGTTTAACCTACGCGGACGACGGCTTTGTTCTTGGTATTTTGTGCTCCGTTGTCACAGCATTTTTTTCAGATCTACCCAATATCATTGAGTACCTAGATGTGATAAAAGAGATGGAAAAATCTTAGAGTGTTTTAAATTAAAATTAGTGTTTGAGCTATCTATATATAAAAGACCTAGATCCAGAAGTAGGCCTCGGTTGTGAATATTACTTATTCCTCGGTATCATCATATTTACTCTGATTTTACAAGGAAATTATTCGCGAAAGTGTTTTTATAATTACAGGACGTATAGCGAAAACACAAAACATGGCAGAAAATTCAGCTGATTTCGGAATCGGCTTGACATCTGGGATTTTGCTTTAGTAGTGTTTGATTAAAAGCCTATATGGAGTTGTTCTACATTCCTACTAGGACTGACACACTCTTCACGTTGCTCTCAAGCCCGCTAAATCATTGTAACTTAACTAAAAATCGACTTTCTACGAAAAGTGCTTAGATTAATAGAAACTGCATTAAATTGCTTTTTTCATTGAAAAGAATACTGTCAGCATGTAGATATGTAGTGACATTTAAGTCCGTTTTGTTTTAATCAGTTATAATACGCTTGTGAAATAACCTGGCACAACTTTGAATGAGACAAAGAACCAGCACGTGCATATTTTTCCTGCTGACGACTTTGTTCTTATTTACTAGGTAGTAACTGTTGGGATACTTCTATCTTCGTTTCCCGGATAGCCTACTTACTGTGCCCAACTAATGGGTTTATCTCTTACAGATGTATGGGATTACGCTTAAGAATAAATATAGCAACAGAAAAAAACTCATTTATAATATTTAGAATTTTCCGAACAGTATCATTTGCATTTGAGAAAAATGACCCAACCACCAAAGAAAGACAAATATTCCGTCGAAATTTCAGTCTTATTTTATTGTGCAAGGATAATAAAAGATTTATGTTTCTGGTAAACACAGATTGCAGACTAAATGGGCTTAATTTGCTGCGTTATCCGACGCCTGTAAATAATAATGACATTCACATCAACTGCAGTTTTTCCTATTTCGCTTGATTATGTCACAACCAAATAGGACTGAATGTCAAATGTTTTTGATTTTACGGTTTTTGAATACTATCGCCATTCGCTGCTTCAGTATTTAATTGTGGCATTTAAGAGGCTCAGACGCGACCCTTTTTTTCCCAAAATGAATAACTGTTTTGCACTGCACAGATTACGAATGACCTTTACTTAAATTTCAGTGGAAGAGAATGTCCGAGACTAGTACGTGAATCTGTATGTAATCATTTAATGTTTTAACTGTCCTCGTATTGAAGCAATGTGTCTGCTACAGAGGATCAATAAATGCTATAGATTATGTTCCATAATTCTATTTCGCATGTGTCCATCATCTCTAAACGCTGTCTCCCTCATTTCCTCCAAACAAGTCTTCCTCAACAGCAACCTGCTACCTCAGATGATGTCGTCTCACGGCTTTAAAATATTTAAACCGGTAGCATTAATTTTGAAGCTCATAGAGGAAGTGCCAGTACAGAAACTAATACACCTTTACGCGTAGAAATTAAATACGCTGGTAATTATAGCAGCTAGTAAAACTATCTGCTTTGAGGATGCAGATTTAGTACAGACCACTTGCGGCTAAATCGTAGTAGACTTCTGCCGACAAAAAGATGGAAGACTTTAGGTGGCGTAAATGTTGTGAATTGATCATATAATCGGCGACGGTAGTGGTCAGCAATCCGCGATTACCACCGGAAAATAACGAGGCAATCAAAATGAGTGTCTACTGTCTATAAGAACGAATAGGATGAAAAGGCAGTTTTTTTAATAATTATTCTTTGAAACGCCAAATGAGTGGCAAGTTTTGCAATGGAATAGTGGTTTAATTTCGTTGAGGAGTTATAACAAGCTTGGTAGAAATGCGAACTGCGTACAAGGATAAATTTAAAGCATTTTCTAAGTCAGATTTAGATTCATTATGCTTAATCGCTATAAAAACATTCGCAATCAACACAGATACGTTAAAGGACTTATCCAAGGTGCCATTCAAACTGTGAACTATGGATGTCGGATTGCACCAACGGTGTTATCGCTACGGGCTTTGTTGTCGGCGTGGGGTTCCTCATTGACGTACACACGCGTCGATAGCGCACGCCGCTGCAATCAGCTCAGTTTAACGACATTTTCTAGAGACAGTCTAGGTGCGGAACTTATCGCATTAAGCGCTCGACCATCTGCCGAAAGCCACATGCCCGAACTGTGAGCGATGTTGCGCGGCGCGTTAAGCGAGCGATCGATTCTACCTCGCCAGGTGTGCAGGCCTCCACGCCACAGGTACAGTGCGTCAGGCACGCTCAGGCGGTACATGCAGCCGCCCAGCTTTCTCAGGCAGATAGTGCCTTCTGGCTGATCATAGATTGGGCCGCGACCCACTGGCTGACCGGGGTAATATTTGGACGTCCATTTCTTCGAATACTTTTAATATTATTCGTGTGAAACCGTGACGCTCTTCGAAATCTTCGTTGAAAAAGACTCTCCCGAAAATACACAACTCAAAATCATCAGCTTAAGCAGCAGACTGACTGACACAAAAGCACGGCTAGACTGACTGCTTGGTCATAGATGAAGTACCAGTTGGTACCCTTTCAAGCCACAGTTTTTAACGCAACGTGATCGTCTGATGCGCATGGGACTGTCGATTTCGAAGATTTCCACCGTATGCCACACAGCAAAGATGGGAGCAAAGACGGTGACTTGCGCAAGCGTTATATTGTCGACGGATTTGCGCTGCATCTACCACACTCTCTTCTTCTACCCCGCCTGGGACCGGAGTCAAGACGGAGTCAAGAAAACTAGAGACGGGGGAGGGCACAGCTGGATGGCACGGTTGAGTTCGCACGTTGGCTTTCCACGCCACACACCAGGTTTCTGACCACCAACAACAGAGACTGGAGGCTGGCACGGCCGAAATCGCACCTAGATGTGCCGCTAGCATCCTGCTCGGATCCTACTTAGTGGGAGTGCCATAAAGGCCACCTTAAGAACGAGCCATTGCAGCCTGACTCTCAGACAACCAGCCGGCGATTCGCACAGCGAAAAATACTGGACCGACTCCCAGTTGCGTGGGAGGTGGCAGATGAGTGCTTGCGGGAGGTGAATGTTAATGTGTGGTGAGGTGATGGTGAGGGAGGGTATGGCGGTGTGGTGCAGCCGGCGGTTGTTTACCGCAGGTTTTCCTGGATGTGCGATGCGTGAATGTGCAAGGGCAGTGCGGACAGTGGAGTTTGGTGTGGAGGACGTTGGTTGGTGATCCAGGCACTGTTTCACCAGTCTCCGTGCGATGAATTCACAAATAACTGCCCAGAACTATGTGAGAGGTGAATTTGCGGCCCCATTTAGGGCAGGCGTAGTCCAGATCTTCACCGCTGGTGTCGCAAATTGTAGTGGTGGTGTGTGTTGTTGTGTCAGGTTCGTGTGTAGCGTAGATGTTTGTGTCAGCCGCCAGAGCGGCCGATGTTGGGACAGCGGAGTAGGAGTAGGAGGGGGATAAGAAGGAGGAGCACAAGGAAAAGGAGGAGGAGGAGAAGGATGATGATGGAAATGGCGATCCAGAAAAGCGGTCACAGTTAGTTGGGTGGGTGGAGGACGAAGAGGAATTGGGCGGAGGGACGCTGGTTGATGCGGTCCGATTGGCGCAGTTGATCCGGTGGCGTCCTGAATATCAGTTGATATCGATGACACGTTGGAGGCGGTTGCGCGTTGTCATTGTGTGGTGGGCGTAGCTGGGACGTGAATGCTTCACGTTTAGCTTGGGCGGCGGCGATAGTTTTCGCTTCATAGATCACGGCGCCTGTCTCCACTGTCCTCCTCCAGCTGCAGACCACACTGTGTTTTGATGGCGACCGAAGGCTTGGCTGGCTTTCAAAATCCTGCGGGTGATTTCGTCATCCATTTCAGTGCTGCGAGAGAGGGTACTGCCGAAGTACGGGAAGTTATCTTCTGGAATCCAGAATGTGCAGGCAGCATCACAGGCAGTTACAGCTAGCATTCTGAATGCGCAAGTATCTGTCGAATCTCATTTTCCCCAAATTCGTCCATCTGCGGCTATTCGGTAAAAAGAGAAAAATCGATAGACATCTCGGTGTCGCAAGCCGAAGGCGGAGTCACGCGTGACATGCGTACCAAAAACTATGAGCGCAGACGGTTTTGTTGACGATTGTGAAAGTGGGAAGCTTCAAGTCCTCCCTTGCCCACTTACACCTACGGGGACATTTTCTGGTGAGATGTCAAATCTTTAACACCTGTGACGAGTTCCTTAAAAAGTGTAAGTCACCAGCAACTAAATCACGTTCGCTCCTTTTTCTGCAGATCTGAACTTCGTTTACTTTCGAGCTTGGCTAGGCAATTCGGGTGAGTTCGAGCATGATTAGGGATTGACGAAGTTTTGCTGGCAATGCGGTCACTTAGTAAATATAAACTACGTACTCATCTATTTCCTGAGCCACAATCTGCTGTTGTCTGCGTTTTCGGGTGCTGTATATATCTGACACCTTTGAAGAACATTGTTCGCGTACTAGCAATAAAATTCTCATACTTGAAACCACTTAATGAAGGTCTATATGTCCAAGAAAATCGGCTTCCCTACATGCTTCTAATTCTGAAAGGACGAATATTTCCTACAAATTGATGTTCGCAATCCATACCCTATTTGTCGTTCGTACCAAAGCCCATACCGTTGGATTTGTAACTTCACCAAAGCTGCTTATTGCATCGACGGATGAATATCTACCTGTCAAATAGTATCTACCCCACGCAGTCCACGGTGTGATAAGAAGCCATTTCATTCACCGGGAAAGCAAATCTAGTCCTTAAATGGCCGACCCTCCTGTGGGCACCGCACATCTTTTAAAGTAAGAACTGCAACTCAGATTTACTTGCAAGTCGTTTATTTCTTTTAACATTAGGAAATTGGCTGACGTTTACATGCGAATGCTTGCTGCACCGTCAATCCTGCTAAGTATTTCCACTGGGCTCTTGGACGACCAGACCCAAGCGGTCAGGTCATTGTCGGGGTAGGCTGAACCATCTGGTGCCGTGAAGGCCTCTAGCGTGTTGCCACGGTTGTTGTCGTCACCTGTTAAAAATATTTAAATGAAGCTCGGTCACGAAAAAATAAAGTGTCAAGAGGGGTAGGCGAAGGGGCTGCGAAGGCCTCTACCGTATTGTTGCCGAAAGGCTTTTTAAGAAAATATTTTATCGAAGGCAGAGAAAGAAGGAAACCATGAGGGATAGGCAGTATTCACAGAAGTCCTGCAGAGTGGCCATTAAGAGAAGAAACACGCCAGATTAACGTTTGCAGTGGGTGTCGAATGCTGAGCCAATGCGTGGCATTAAAGAAAGAAAGAAAGCATTTAACTGTAATCAGGTAAAATAACTTCCCCGTCTTCAGTCCTCCACACATAAAAAACCTAAGGAACCTGAATAAGTAAAATGGAATATTGTGCATACAGTTTTTGTTAGCGCTGTGTAAGCTGTTTGATATCCTACGGCTTCTTTCTTAAAATTCATGTAAAGGCAACCTCTTTTACGAGCTTGGGGTGAAGTCATCTATTAGCTGGGCCGAGACTTAAAAACATACTGTGGTGGGATAAGATGAATTTCATGCATTCAAAACCGTATGCTACGCAAAATAACTCCATAAAAAGCCAAATTACCATGACACTATAATAATGCCATCGCATAAATCAGATCAGCGCGTCATTTCCAAGAGAAAAAAACTGGTTTTAAAGTTGTGAAAATCACCATAACTATGTTCAGAAGAGACAGTGCCGAGCGAACGTTCCTTTCGGTAAATTCTCACTAGGCTAATACTGTTATACAGGGCAGGGTACAGTCAGTGAAACAAAAATCGATAAAAGTTAGTTTTTTTAAATACAGGCTAGGCAAGAGCGGAAGGGCGCAGAACGTTGTATGTAGTTAGTCAACCTATGGCCACGGTAAGCGCGTAGCCTGAACAAGGTTCTTTTGGGTGCATAGGGTCGGTTTTCGTAACCTTATGGCGGCCGCTTCTGATGTTGCTAACGGGCGTTGGCCCAGTAGCTTAAAGCAGCTCGAGGGGACCTTATAAATCACACGAAATGCTTCAGTGGGGTCCACACGATTTTAAAAAAACTGGCACGACGAATGCCAGTTTGACCAGATGATGGAATTTGTCGGCATATTCGCTGTTTAGCTTCAAAGCGCTACGCGGTGGGCATATCCCGCGTTTTCACATACATATACACAATGCTGGTGCAGAGTGCGCATTTAGAATACAAAAAGAAGAAAAACATGCTCTGTTACAAAAATAATGCATTAAGTAGTGCGTTATATTCGTACCGTAGCCGCCGAGAGCAAAAACGGCGTTTGCGAAGGTGAGAAAAGTGAACAGGCGACGAGGCTCCTGCATGTCGGCCAGTTCTGTCCACTGGCCGAGGGGGCTGCTGGCGTCTGGCGGGGTAAACATCTCCACAGTGCTGAGGGATCGGCCTTCGTCATCTTCTCCACCGGCGACCAGAATTGCTCCCCGAAAGGCCGTCGCTGCGAGCCGGCTTCGCGCAGTTCTCATGGGGGCAGCCGACTGCCAAAAGTTTGCTGAGATCGTCTTCTGCCGCCGACGCCAGTCTGCTCGCAGATGGCAGAAGACCACAGAGGCAAGCGGGGTGTAGCGTTCATCCACGAAGGACGGTTCATCGTAAAACCAGTTGTAACGTTTACTTTCGCCGCCACAAACGAAGACACGACTGTCACCGGGCAGACAGGCAGCAGATGACCCCCACCTCTCCTCCAGCAGATTGGGCAGTTTGTGCCATCTGTTCGGGCAATCATGCGAGTGAGGAGAATAGGGGAGAAATCTTTTTGGCGAAAAAAAAATTGCGTCAAGACGGGGCGCCTACACTCACCTGTTCTGCCTGACGTCATAGACCTCACAGGAGGAAAGACCTGCGCCTCCGAAAACGCCAATAAGCGTCTCCTCTCCGTCAGCGGCAGCGGTGGGAACCTTAACGACGGCGGCTGCGTGCCCCCAGGAGCGTCCAACGGCGAGGGACGCCCGCTCGCGCCAGCGCCCTTCTCTCACCAGAAATTCATCAACACGCCGCGTAGAGTCATCACGCCATCGTCCTCCAACAACGAAAATGCTCCCTTCCGTGGTAGAAAAAAGTAATGCATCAAGTAGCCAGCTGAAAGGGTTTGAGAGATGTGCATTCTCTAAAAGCAAAAAGGCAACTTAACGAGCGCTAAATCCACGCCGTGATGACAAAATGTGCTGACAGATAGGAGTCTGCACCCAGAGGCATTAGACTTCAGTCAAACAACTGTCTGGCAACTCACCTCCCACCACACTGTAGGAGGCGCCCGTCCGGCCATTTTCCATGTCAGCAACACGCTCTGCCTGCTGCAGATGCGGATTCCAACGCAGGACAGACCACCTGGCCTCCTCCTCCTTCTCCTCATCACCATAATCATCATCGTTCTGCCTGTCCACCCCAAAAAGGAAAATCGTCTGATCTTTGTCTGCTCCAAAGAATGTCTGTCGAACACGAGGCCTAATGTTGAAGGGACAGGGCCGCTTCTCCTTGTCTGCCGCGCCAATCCAATTCAAGGCCTGAAACATTAGACAACTGTTAAAGAAGAAAGTAACAGGACTGTAATGCCGTGTACTTACAGACAATCGGGACTCCTACTGAATGTTGGATAATTTTTAAGTAGACGATCGCGACATTCCACGGTTGTCTGCTGCCACTGCACCTCCTTCAACATCGTCGGAGCGTGCGCCTTTAGCCTCTCGTCATCACCCGCCACGCCAGCACCTGCATCCACCCACCGTGCAATGGCCGCAATAACGTGCTCTTCAGACGCCACAGACAGATCTTCACTTTGAAGCAAAGTGAGCAGAGTTCGGGCAGGTAGGCGAACAAAGAGGTCGGTTGGCACAAAGTCATCAAAGTGCCCCTTCATTAGTCCGATGCACCCCTCCGTCAGGGCTTCAACATTCAGCGACCTCGCAAAGTCCAAGGTGTTGGACAGGTTTTCTAGAGTGAGCCTTCAGAACAGACAGTTAGACAGGAAATGCGCGTACCCCCTGGCCATGAATGCCACTCCCCAGTCCACCAGGTGAGGCAACTCCAGCATTCTAGCAAGCGTCACCAGGCCCTTCGCATTGTCTTCTCTAATCTCCACTCGGCCCGTGTAGACATACTGCATGAACGTAGTTGCGAGGCTAGAAAGTGCAGAAGCAGTAAGCAAAATCACCGAATCGACAACAATTTTACCTCAGGGGCATTGTCGGCCATCGTAGAACGGAATTCTTCTCTCCGAGAGGGCCACTGAGAGTGGCTCGCAAAGACGGAATGCGAGCCGCCAATATAATACGATTGGCATGAACCTCTGCCCTGTCCTTTACCTAACACGCACGCACACATGAATATTCGCGGTAAAGGGTGCTACCTCTACTCTCAAATCCTTAATTTCCTCCGCAAGGCGGATTTCATTCAAGGCTGGACAGCTTCGGATCAGGGGAAATTCATCTTCGAATACTTCTGCTCGTGAGAGCGCCATTTCGTGTAGTAACCAGAGCAAGATCAACGGAATGCCTTCAGGTCGGTGAGTGCTGCCTTTTATTTCTGCCCTGTCATTCTACGTACGCGCGCGCGCACTGACGACCTACAGGATCTGATTGGCCGAGGGCAGCTCAGAGCGGATTCCATTACTTGGTAGTCGGCACAAAAAGGGGTGAGTTAATTTGAAAAAGGTAAAGGCGACTTCTCCATTGGTCAAGCCATAGCTGGCTAGAAGGTGTCACTGCCTAATGTGAAATACCAACTAGACTGACGTGTGCCCTGCCAGCAACGAGGAAATCGTGTGGGCGGGAGTAGGCAGTAGGTTTCGGTTCGGTTTGTACAGACAGTCTGCAGACTCGCTGGCATTTTGTCGTGAGGTTTCCCTTCTGTGTGCACTACTGACGTCAGTTGGTGAAGATCACCTGTTCATGCAGACGAATAGTAAAGGCGTATATCCCTGGCGGACAGAGGTGTATTCACCCAGATCTGGCTAATTAGCAATAAGACCCTCTCAACGTTGTTGAAAAGACCAGATAAAATAGAAACATGCTATATCGCGCGTACTGCCTTCAGAAGTTCACAACATCTTACCGTTTCGCCATATATTTCCTGTAATCCACACAAGTTAGCTTTCGTCTTGAGATTAACTACGGCCCTAAAAGCATAGGTCGCTAGAGGATGAGGAATATTGGTAGATTGTTATCCTTGCCAAGTGTCCGGGGCAAAACACTATTGAAAATCTCTGCAAAGTTACCAAAGAAATCTCCACAATGCAAATAAGAAACTCCTTATGCAATAAAAGATTGATTTTGTGCTAGATAATCAAAATGAACAATCCCCTATAGACAACCTGGCCAGCTCTGTGCCTGAAAGACATTCTGCTGCGTTCCATGCAAACGGACGATCAACAAAGTGCTGAAATTTTGAAAGTGCTATTAATTTGCATTATTGCCTTATCCATCCTCATAGTTAGCCCGTTTTAAACGATTTGCAAATAACAGTAGTAGTAGTAGTAGTAGTAGTAGTAGTAGTAGTAGTAGTAGTAGTAGTAGTAGTAATAGTGATAGTATTAGTGCTCGTATTACCAGAAGCAGTAGTAATGATGCTGATGATGATGAAGAGGCTTATTCTAAGAATAAAACCAGGATTTCACTTTCACACGCATTATCTGCACAAACAGTCTTCAGACACACTAGCACTTTCGTTGGCAAAACAATATTGTAGCCTGTTCGGCCTTTTATCAGTGACTTTTGTGGATGTCTTCGCATGTTTCGCCATTCAAACGATCACGCCACAAAGCTCTTAATCTCTATTCTCGAATAAAGATGGCTTTGTGCGAATGAGAGCCTAGATTTGAGCCTACGGCATACCTGTTCAAATCGCGCCCCTGTCATTCGATCTCGATCTGGGCGTCATCAAGGGAGTGAAAAAGTACATGCGCAGCAACGCAAGCTTTGGCGCACATGACATGCTCCACCCTGGGGTGCCATTGCAGGCTGCGACTTGGCTGCACATGAGGCCAGGTCAGTGGGGCAGCGAAATTCCTGCCGAAAACGACATCATCTATTTAGGAGACGAATAATAAAATTTTAGGGTTCATTAGTGATTCTCAGCACTGCGTATGTTGCCCTAGAGGTATTGCATCAGAGCATCGCAAATTCAATTACTGAAGGATACATGAAGGTGCCTTCTCCTGTAGAGTGGTGAAGTGCCTCTCACTTCGTCTCACCATAATTAAATTGCAAGACGCTTAACCGCCACATGCGTCGATTACACCGCTGTAGGCGAGAAATCTCGGCACAATTTTATGTCTGCTTGACCCCGTTGTGGGGTTTCCGAAGGCAACTTTGTTTAATGAGGCGCTTTTGTGCTATGAGAAATGGAAAGAAGAGTCGTGAAGTGAGACTAATTACAAGGGGGCTTGGTATGGTCGTTTATGTTTCTTTGGTGGTTGGCAAGGAGGAAGAGTGAGAGAGAAAGGGGGAGGATGGGGGGGACGGAGGATATCGAAGAAAGTAGGTAGAATGGAGATATGTGGAGAGAGACGCGTAGTAGCAGTAGAAGCCGTTTATTATCACAGTATAGTGAGTGACCGATCTTATGAAATGTTGACTGAAATTCTGAAATGCCTTTTCGATTGGGAAGCATTACTTGGTTGCGGTTGTAATACTGATTATCTTGCGGCATAATCTTATAACAGTTCGGACTCGGCAGGATGTCAGCTTTTGAATACACTGCTTTTCAATCTCCTGTAGAAACCGTACTCGGTAAAAAAATGACTACTTAAATAGCATGCGTTTTTCCCATTGATTTTCGATGGTCTTGCTAATTCAAACATATCTTATAGAAGCCATAGCCAAAATATGCTTTCTTTTAGTCAATTAATAGAGAATCAGGTCTTCTTTATATTTTCGACTAAATTAATCCTTCCCAATCAAGAACGCATTTCAGAATTTAAGCCAGCATTTAATGAGATCGGTTACTCACTGTATGTGTCCCAGCCCATGGAATTTCGAGATCGAAAGTTGAGTGAGAAGTATGTCATGCTTATGGTGTTATTATTTTAGTTTTTTGAATTGCTTTAAGACGCAGAGAATCATTTCATTGAAGACATGTGACATCCCTGGTATCAATTTCTATCCTTGTCCTTTTTTGCTACTAAACGTTTGTTAGTAAGCAGACTTTACTCATATAACCCTGCCTTTGTTTCTGTACCCCTATTCGTCGACATTCTTCGTTCATTGTTCTTTGTCCTTTGTCTATTGCTCTTTGTCGCCGCTCACTTTTAAACCGACCACCCCAAGTTGGCGCCATTCGCCGACTGCTCGTCTAATCACCTTGAATGAAGGTCCACTTTTCAATTGTTTTCCCACCTTATTAACCTTATCGTGCTACGCTAATCTTACCGTTTATTGCTATGGAACCACAAAGAAGAACCGAGATATCTCGCGAGTCTTCTGACATAGCTTTGACGTCGAGTGCGTCTATTCCGGGGAATAAACCAGCACTAAATCGAGAAAATCTAAAGAATACTTACAAAGTTATGCGAGTCGTGTCCGAGCAAATCGCAGATATCAGCCCTCCGGATCTGTCGCTGCACTCACGACCTGCTTCACCAATCACCTAAGATCAAAGAGATTAAGAACGGCAGCGACTTGAAATAGAGTTCAGTAAAATGCGTCTACTAGAAATCTAAAGACGCAGTAAGTTGGAAAAGTTACAGTTTATGAAAATGGAAGGTCAAGAATTGAATAAAGATAACGAGGTTGGTGCGATTGCTCAACAGAGAGATGGTAGTTTGGATGATAATGTCGAACCTCCAGTTCGCATCACTGACTATCATCTAGAGCTCCTAAAATTGAAATTCAGAAGTTCAACGGGAACCCTAACTTTTATTGTGCTTTCGTGAAAGAGTTCCATTCTGTACTTAAAAGAAAAACTAGTGACAGCATCACATGCTTCACTTAACTAATACAGTACTGTGAGGTGAAAATGAAGGAGGCTATACAACACTAGCTGGACCCCGCCACGCGTTGCTGTGGCTCAGGTGAATTCACAATCTCTGTTGGATAACTAACCTGCCTCGTCTGCTTCCGCAACAGTGTCGACTAACGTATATGTGACTGCCTCGCTTTGAATCTTGCACTGAATAATGTGGCTAAGATGGTACACGTGTTTGTTTTTGGCCGCAAGAAGCGCTCGTTCGCTCAATTAGCCGGGATTGTTGAAAGCGGTCTGAACAGAGGTAGACACCGTCTCAACCAATTCCTCTTTTGAGGACACGAAATTTCCTAGGCTAAGACGTAGGGAAATCATTCTTGTAGTCGGATCGGCGTGCACAGTTGCATTCCTGATTGCCAGCAATTACTGTGAGAATACCTCGGTGGCTTTGAAGTCACCGATTCGCATTCGTACGGTGCCAAGTTGCCGAAGTCTTCAGCTGATCGTTTTCGGTATAAGGAACTTCTCTCGTTACCGGTAACTGTGGTGCATACGAATGCCCGAGTATATTTCTTAGAGCGTTTTTCATCTATCATACTGGGGGGTGAGGGGTGGGGGGAGGGAGAATTGGGACTCAGGGCACCGTAAAGTCCATTTATCATATTCGTCGCCCTGACTTCGGGCAAATTAGTGTCGACGTCGGCGTCAGGTAATTCAGCGCATATTGCATCGGCGATTTCGTTGGAGGTGATCTTGTTATACAGTCAGATCCAGACGTGTTCGTGGGGCAGTTCACACTTTGGCCATTCCCCCTAATACATCCGGCAGCGCACATACCCAACCACCTCGTGTTTCACCATGCAGTTAATCAGCGATTTCAGTGTCTTCCTAAGAACACGTGCTGTGGTGTCATAACCATTCACCGACGATTGCCCAGAAAGTAAGAGCTGATAAATACCCCACCCTAAGGTGGATTGCAGGTGAATTTAATGAGTAGGTTTGGACGCCCCGTACTGACAAACATAAGCAATTGCACCTCCAGCGTACCCGAGCATATGGCGTGGACTGTCTGTGTATGTGGACGACAAAATCGTTAGTCGTATTACCGTCGTTTACAACTGTATGAATGCAGATGAATACATTTTTCAGAACGCAGCTTGGTCTGCATCAAGCGAATGAAAAGCAGGCGTTCAGTTTCGACTTTTGCATACATATCAACAATGTAGTGATGAAGCAATTGACGGCATTTCAAAAGGTGACTACTTACATTCTGTCGAATCATAAGTCGGTAGGAGTGGTGGTTCATTGCGCTGCATTTCGTGTGCGTTTCCTCATCACTGACTGGGTTTATCATCTTAACGTTGAAGTAATACCCATCGGCACCATCCCGTAAAGAAAATAGATACCGCGTTGAAATCGGTCTCGGACTGCCGATATATATGCTATCACCTTACCCTAGAATCATAATTCTCCCAACGGTGGTTTTCGTACCGTCGTTCACAACAGCATCACGCAGCGTGAACCCTGATCACCGAGTCGTGTTTGATGCTGGTCTTCTGTTCCTTGCTGGCGCCATTCAGCCACTCTCAGTCTGTTGTATTCATCCTGTTATAAACGGAGCAGACCTGGAGCTGCCGAACGCGGTGGCCGTGACCGCAAGCGGGCTTCCGCAAGCCGGGCTGCACGACAATGGGCTGACACTGGGCGACAGCCCCATTATGTGGGTTGTGCGTGGGGAGGGGGGAAGGGGGTTTTGTTAACCGCATTCAGTCGTCGCGCCCGAGAATCCCAGCGGAAGCGGCGGCAGCCCAATTATGTGGGTAGTGTGGGGCAAGTTCAAGTGTAGCCCAAGAGTTGCGTGATTTTTTGCTGCAGGGTGGGTGGTTTGCCTACCGGCCCAGAGAGGGTGGAGGGCCTGCTCAAGTGTCTGCAGGGGGTGAGTGGTGGGGTGAGCGCGGCTGTCGGGCGGAGCACATGCGTCTGAGCGAATGTCGGTCAAGTGGCCGCAGTCTGGGCGCACATGTGTCCGCGCGCGATGTAGGTCAAGTGGCCGCAGCAGGTGACGTTGTTATGCCGGAAAAAATGCGATATTTTACCCATCACAGGCATACCATCGGCATAATTACACAACTGACCAGCCAAAAACCCGGCCCTATGCGCGGGTCGGGTTGTGCCCAAATTTCAGCGCAATCGGTGCAGTACTTTCGGAGATTAGACATAACACAGAAAAAAAACCTTCCATTTTTATATATATAGATTGTGCGATATTAGACGCCGCCGAAGCCAGAGAAATTTTGAGAAAATGATTCGGCCAGAATTATATAGTAACCGGAGCCTTTATTGAGGCCTAATCGATGGACCTCAAATAAAAGGCAACGACACCGCAGCGTTGGTTCACCTCAGCCAACAAATGCAAGTTTGCGTGGCAACCATAAACTAAGTAAACTATGCATCGATCTCAGTTCCAGCAGAACTCTGGAGTCGACCGTGAGAAGACTACATTCCCAATTAAGACTCAAATGAGCTGAAGCCGCTGCAAATGCAATACATCAGGGCGAAGAACCGAAATTCGAAGATCTTACGAACTTGATAGAAGAACGCATTAATGTTGCCTGTAGTCGGTTCGGAGAATTAGCGCTTAGTTTGAGAGATCATGAAGGTCAGCAGCCCAGCAGAACACAGAGATTGTCAAACAATCTTCAAAGGATTGTGCTTGTTTTAAACAGCACGGGAATAAAGCGCAATGGAACCCATTTCTTGTTCTGTTACACGGACTGTGGAGGAGATCATCATCCCGATAAATGTCCTATGACAGGACGAAAAGGAAAAGGATTGTACAAGAGCGCCAACTGTGCTGCCGTTGCCTGAAAGCGAATCATATCGCCAAGAGCTGCAGATCGCCTCGTGGGTGTACAGTCGAGGGCTGTGGAAGAGAACATCATACATTACTACATCCCGACAATGAAGAACTCAATAGCCCGCCGAATGTTTTCAGTCATCACGTAGTCGTACACGAAGAAGAGTTTCCAAGGGTAGCCCTCGTAGTTGTTTCAGTGACCATCCAGTACGAATGACACACGGCACGGACTTCGGAACTTCTAAACAACGGCTCCGACTCAACGCTCATACATGATAGTCTCGTGTCTGCTCTTGGAATGAATGACAAAGGCAATGATATCGTCATATCAACGTTGAATAAAGAAACTGTATTCCAGACCATGGAAGTAGAGAACGACGTAGAATCTAAAGGCACAAAAACTTCTATTCACGTCAAACGAGCTTACTCTGTCAAATCTCTACCACAAGCGAATCAAATCATGTCAAATTAAAAGTTAACCTCACTGTGGCTTCACTTGAGTACGATCGAATTCGAATCACGCGAAGACATGGGGATCGGGCTGTTGTTAAGATCCGATATACCGGAAGCACATTGGGTACATGATCAATGCTTAGGTAAAGCAGACGAACCATACGCCATTCGAACGGCCTTGGGGGGGGGATAATGATGGGACGGGTACATCGTACTCCCAGAGAGAAGGAACGGGTATACCGCTCGGACTTCGTTGAGTTCCAGAAGGATCTGGAGCTGTTCTATCAACAAGACTGCATTGACGAGGGGTCAGCCAAAGACAAAGATCTGTCTGTAAACGATCGTATCGCGTTGAAGACTATGGACCAATCCTTTGTTTTCGCGATGCCCATTATATGTTAACCCTACCTTGGAGAACTCACCCGTCAATCCTCCTGAATAACAAGCTATGCTCCTTACAGCGCCTCCAACTGCTCGATAAACGGCTCGTAAAATCAGAAGACCTGTTGTTAATGTATACGAAAACTATGACCGACTACATTGAGTCTGGAAATGCTAAAGAGGTTCTGGTCAAGGATGCAACCTTCCCAAGCATCCCGTTTTCCACCCAGCCAAGCCAATTAAGATGCGCGTGATCTTTGACTGCGCAGTTAAATTGTATGGAACCTCCCAAAACGATCAACTACTCTCCGGACCTGATATGAGCAACTTGCTAGTCGGGGTACTTTGGAGATTTAGACAGGAGAAAGTCGCCATTATGGCCTATATTGAATCGATATTCCATCAAGTTCGGGTGCCTGAGAGAGACCGTGACGTTATAAGACTTCTGTGGTGGACGAATGACGACTTATCGCAACCACCGAAAGAAAACCGGATGACAGCACATTGGTTTGGAGCTACATCCTCTCCAAGTTGTGCAACCTTCGTGCTTAATAGAGCCATCGCTGATAGTGCGGAAAGTTACGATAAAGATGTCCTCGAGGAGGCGAAACGATTCTTCTATGAAGGTGATTGTTTGGTCACTGTGCGAGATGAGAACGAAGCACTCCGGTTTTCACAGCAGTTCAGGTCAATGTTAAGTTAAGGGGTTTCAAAATGCACAAATGAAAGACCAACATTGTCACTTTAATGACGTCCATACCCCAGCCTGTAGAGGCCACCACACGTATAGAGCTGGGTTGTCGGGATCCCGCAATGCGCCTAGCACTCTGGGTGGGTTAGGACCTTGAAAGCAACGAATTTCGCTATTTTGTGCGTCCCATGACCAATCAGTTCACAAGGAGAAACATACTTTCACATGCTTCGTCTTTCTTTGATCCGATGGGATACCATTTGCCTATATATCATGCGCCGCTGTGCGGCTGAAGATTGGGCTCGAGAGAGAGCCCCTAAGTCAAAACGGCATGAGTAAGTTCCGTATGAACGATCGGTGAGCGCCCCCTACTATTATCTTGTTGATCTTACCTGCCAGTGCTTTCATGGGGTCGGCGTCGATGACTTTATACGATTGGTTGTCATTTAGTAGCTGATGCGCTTTGGCAACGTACTCCGACTTGTCTAGCACTACGGCTGCTCGTCCTTTGTCCGCTGGAACAATGACAATTTCGTCGTCATTCTTTAATTCCCATATGGTCTTGAGCTCTGCCGAGGTGATGGTTCGGCGTGGCCTATGGGATATGATGAGGGATGCGACTCGTTGGCGAATCGCTTTCTTGGAGTCTTCTGCGGCATCAGTTTTTGAGAAGGCCACTTCTAGTGCAGCGATAAAATCTACTGGCTGTGCGTCTCCTGTGTTGTAGCCGGATTCATGTTGAAGCACTTTAATTTGGTCGTCTGTTAGCTGTTTAGATGACAGGTTGTGGACGGCTAACGGTTCGCGCACGGGTGCTTGTGCTTGTTCTAGGTTACGTGTTTTGTTGAGGAGTTGGGTCTTCTTCTTGTCTCGCTCCTCGCTCACCTTAATCAAGATCCAGCTCTGCAGGTTTCGCATCGTTTGTTCGTCCAGGTATGCTGCACATGCCGCTTTCTCCCTTTCGATGTTCCTGCTGTATTTGCGCAGACGAATGTGACATTCGTTGATGAGGGTCCTTAGTAGGCGTCGGCTGCAGCTCCTGGCGACCTCGCGGCCGAAGTCAGTTCTAGCTGGTGCTCTTACAGAAACGCTCCTCGGCATAATGTCCGATCTCAGGCAACTGTGCAGAAAGGCGAATTGACGGACAAACGTCTGCGCACGGGCGTGCATGAGCACGCCTTAGCCGTAAAGCGAAAGGATGTACGCTCGCACGTCGCCATGCACTGTATAGAAAATAATCCCCTGTTCGACTTCGACGGTGCCCAAGTGCTCGGCCAAGCCGAAAGCAAGCTGGCGAGAGAAGTAATTGAAGCCTGGCAATCAGACGCCAACTCGATTAACCGCAGTATTTACCTACCAGCGCCATACGAGGCCATCAGGCACCACTTGCGCGCGAGAGGAGGGCCACTAAGAGGAGAGCGGGATCGACCTATCAGGCGCGAGCACGAATGGCATATTTAAACCATGTATTTCTCATTTAGCCTGTCTCCGATGACGTGCTCGAGTACAAGTATGCAACGCCAGACGATTAAATCTTCCTCCTTAGAGAACGCCTTATCTCCTTCTTCCCTATATATATATATATATTAATGGTAGTATACCGTACTCCCGACCTAGATACTTGCTAAAAGCCCAGACACGTGTTTCGCCGATATTCTGCCGCTGCGTGACACAGCTGCGAGGGGTTCGGCTCTTCAGTGGGACCCCCAGCGTTCTCTAGCAGCTGTGTCACGCAGCGGCAGAATATCGGCGAAACACGTGTCTGGGCTTTTAGCAAGTATCTAGGTCGGGAGTACGGTATACTACCATTACCATATGGAATTCATACTACTCGTAGTACTACTTGTTTGTAGAATGGGCATTACGTGGTTATTCCACAGTAGTTGATTGTCTTCGACTCAAATGTTCATTGAAATTTCGGTTCCGACCCTAAAAAGTCATGTCCCGGAGATTTAACTCCAAGTTCTGCATTGATTAATTTCTGAAATTATTCACCTGATATATATATATATATATTGCCTTACTCGAGCTCTTAGACCTGTGTATGGAAACCACTTTTTCGTTCGACCAACAGTACTACCAACAACTGAAACGAGTCCCAATGGGGTCACCTATCTCTGGCTTCCTTGCCGAGATCACAATGCAGAAACTGGAGGCCACGGCTCTTCCGTTAGTTAACCCTTAATTGTGGCTGCGATACGTGGACGACACATTTGTGATCGTTAAGAAGGATCAACTAGAAACGCTCCCCAACACCATTAACTCAACAATGCCGGGGATTAAATTCACACTCGAGAAAGAAGTTGACAAAAAACTCCTATTTTTGGATGTTCTTGTGCAGCTGAAGACCGACGGAACGTTGCGCACATCGGTGTACCGCAAACATACCTATGCGGAAGTCATTCTACACTACGAGAGCAACCACCCCATTTCCAACAAGCGGAGTACGGTCAACTGTCTGCTTAACCGGGCAAAAACAGACTGCTCGGACGAAGAAGGCTACCAGGCCGAACTAAGTTACTTGTGTGAATTATTTTCCCGAAATGGGTATCCCAAGAATTTTGTGCGCCGATGCATGAGACAGAAAAAGTCAAAAGAAACGGAACAAAGAACTTCCAGCCAGGCACCCAAGTCAAATACATGGTGAACTCTCCCTTATATCAAAAACGTGTCTGAACTCGTGGAAAGGCGCCTAAAGAAGCACCAAATTCTGGTGGCACACAGACCAACGACTACATCACGTACTCAGATAGTACATCCTAAGGATAGGGTCGGCTATTTGGATAGAAAGGAAGTAGTCTACAAGATCCCGTGTGGGGCCTGTAATGCAGTTTATTGTGGTCAAACAGGAAAATCCGCCTATACACGCATTCACGAACACCAACTTGCAGTAAAGAGGCGAGACCACCTGTCTCAAGTAGCCGTGCATACCCTGGACACGGGGCATACGTTTGCTTGGGACAGAACACGGATTGTCGGCGCCTGCCCCTTCAAGAAAGGCCGAGAGTTCCTTGAGGCCATGCACTCGGAAGAATCGTGCATCAACCGTCACATCGAGTTGGACGCCGCGTACAAAAGTCTCAAGGAGAAATGGAAGAGATGAGAGCCAATCGGCACAGAATGACGCAAATAGCGGCCGCTCACGGGCACAAACGCGAACGATTATCGATTTTTTCCACGTGCGCTGCAAGATGTTAACTGTTGTCGGCACATTTACTCTCAGTCTGCGTCTGACGACGACCTGGGGAACCGGCGTCGAAAATTTACGCAATAAAGTTCATTTTCCCAAAGAACGCCTTTAACTTCAACTTATATTTCTTGGGATGCCTACGTTTCAATATATATATATATATATATATATATATATATATATATATATATATATGTATGGTGTTAGGGGGCGCTCATATCATTCTGCCTATATATCATGCGCCGCTGTGCGGCTGCTGGTTGGGCTCGAGAGAGAGCCCTTAAGGCACAATGGAACGAGTGAGTTCCGTATGAACGATCGGTGAGCGCCCCCTACCAATATATATATATATATATATATATATATATATATATATATATATATAGGAAAGGTGAAGTTCTTTGGGAAACAGCAAAATTTTATTGTGAATTTTCGAGACTAGTTCCCCAGCTCGTCTTCAGACAACGGGCGTGCATAAACAATTAACTTCTAGACTGAGTCTGGCAAAAGGATTCCATGATTGGTTAAGGTCGTCATCTCGCGATTGGCTGACTCAGTTTGAATCTGTCCTTAACGATTTTGTATGTGGCATCTAAATCGATATGCCGGTTGATGCATGCTTCATCTGAGTGCATTGCCTCCAGGAATTCGCGGCCTTTCCTTGTTTGGCAGGCGCCAACAATGCGAGTGCATTCCGTCACCCCCCCCCTTTCCTTCCCCCGCCCGCCACAGTTCATGTGTGCATGCGGCTGATAACCACTAAAGCTGATCCACCACCCCCTCATGCGGCGCGAAGACGCTCTAGGACTCCTCCCGCCCCTTCCCCCCTGCCGCCCTGACTTCATATGTAAGAAAACCCGTTTTGACATGACAGTCACCCACCTATAAATACTGTGAGGCGCGATACCACACTCACCTCCGACGTTGGAAGCTTGTATGCTTTTGAAACGTCAGGACAGTAAAACTATGGTTTCCGAGATCGCCTTTTCTCCTGAGTATATATATATATTTATGTCGGCGAACACGTGTTTGGGCTTTTAGCAAGTATCTACGTCGGGAGTACGGTATAATACCTGTACTATATGGAATTCATACTACTCGTAGTACTACTTGTTTGTTGAATGGGCATTACGTGATTATTCCACAGTAGTTGATTGTCTTCGACTCAAATGTTCATTGAAATTTCGGTTCTGACCCTAAAAAGTCATGTCCCGGAGATTCAACTCCAAGTCCTGCACTGATTAATTTCTGAAATTATTCGCTTGATTATTCTCTGCAGTTCTTATACCAGAAACCGCTAGAGAATGCTGGGGATCCCACTGAAGAGCCGAACCCCTCGCAGCTGTGTCACGCAGCGGCAGAATATCGGCGAAACATGGGTCTGGGCTTTTAGCAAGTATCTACGTCGGGAGTACGGTATAATACCTTAAATATACTTATGTATATATAGTGGTAGGTGGCCCTCACCGATCGTTCATACGGGACTCACTCGTTCCGTTGTGCCTTAAGGGCTCACTCTCGAGCCCAACCAGCAGCCGCACAGCGGCGCATCATATATAGGCAGAATGGTATTACCGACAAAGACAAGGGAGACTGGAATGGCCATTTCTGGCTTATTAGCCGTCGTCAGTTAGCCATACCCAAGCCCGAAGTGTGGAACACCCGAGCCTCGAACTCGCGACCTGTTGGTTTAGAAGTCCACGCCTCTACCCACCGGAGAACGAGCCCGTTGCCTTGTCGGTTTTCGATCGGGAATATACAGAGTTAGGGGGCGCCCGCCGATCGTTCATACGGAACTCACTCGTTCCGTTGTGCCTTAAGGGCTCTCTCTCGAGTTCAACCGGATGCCGCACAGCGGCGCATGATATGTAGGCACAATGGTATTACCGAAAAAGACAAGGGGGACTGGAATGGCCATTTCTGGCTTATTAGCCGTCGTTAGCCAGCCATACCCAAGCCCGAAGTGTGGAACACCCTTATGAACGATCGGTGAGCGCCACCTACCATTGTATATTCCGATCGAAAATCGACAGGGCAACGTGCTCAACTGCTTTGGCTGCCAATTGCGTTTGCATGCCCTGGTAGACCTGAGCCCCTTTGATTTTCCAAATTCCTCATCATGTTTACTTCCCCATTTTCATTCCTCTGTTGAATTTTGAAGTTATCGTTTTATTGATTAGTCTACGCGCAGTTTACGTTAACCTTGCGGTTTTATATTGATTTTCTCTGTCGAAATTCAGACTTCTGTACCATTCTCACTTGCTATTTGTGCTATGCATCCACAGGCTGCAGTTGAGAAGCCTTCGCAAAATTTTCTGGCGCCATTAAATTCTGCTGTCCTTGCTTGCTTTGAATTCATTCCGGTGAAATATTGCTTCAAATATACGGAAATATTCGAGGTAGAGACACTGTATCGCGATCATCATCTCTCAAAGAATACGAAGAAGAAGAAGAAGAGAGATCAAATTCATGGATCATATTACATTCGAACTGACGTTTCGGAACTTCCTCGTTTCCATCATCAGAGCAGCGTACTTTTTGCTCCTGCCGGTCTTGAGTTGTTCAGTCTTGTTGCTTGCCTCGTATAATAGTTGTTCTGGGCGCATGAACTTTTACCTTCCTGTTCGCCCGTGACTGGCTTAGACCTCCGCGGGGCTGACCGCTGACAGACCTGCGTGACTTTTGTTCCACTTGGGGTCGGCGTAATTGTAATTGCATCGTACTGGGAGGATACGCCTCGTATTTGTTGAATTACGGTAAAACTTAGTCCTTATCTTGACGTCTGTTAATCTGGTAACTTGCACGACCAAGAAGCGCAAATTATTATTGAATTCCTCTTATATAGTTAATTGAATATCGGGAAAGATTGAGTTTCACAAAGCCTTGATAGACGTCGTTTGACTTATTTAGC